TGCAGGTAAAAGACATTTAAATTATATTGTAAGTAAAATAAATCAAATGAAGATGAGTCAAATAATTATATATAATAAAAACTAAAAAAATTATTATAAAAACTATTAAAAATAAATATCCATAATTGGGATAGAAACGTAATTTTAATAGAACATCACAATAAAATTTAATTTATGTTGTCAACTTCACTTAAAGACTTAATTATTAATGTTGTTAAAATAATTATTTTTAAAATAAAATAAAAGTTGATTGAAAAAACAGCTGGCTTCAGACCTTCAATAATAAATTATAGAAAAGGTAAGGTGAAATATTTAAAAGAAAACATGAAGGCACTATGGAAAACAAAATTGTAGAAATTAACATGTGATATTGGGCGCCATCTTTAGTAAGAGACCTCTCTCCCGTGAAAATCCGAATTTTTTATTCACTTGTAAGTATTTTGTGGGGTTTAAACCCCCGCTGTTTCAAAGATTTTTTTTTTACAGTTTTCTGAGGTTATGAACCTCCGCTATATCTTGAAAAAAACAAACCCCAGAGAATAATACGCTTACGTGAAAGACCTATGACATATTCCAGAATGATTAGCACCTATACAGTGTATACAACACAATCAATTAAAAGTTTCAAATAAGATAATATTAATTAGATTTCAAATAAAATAATAATATCTAATATAGTGTAATAACATTTCAAGTAAATATTTAAGTATATGTAGATATTTATCATATATTTCAGAAAATAAATAGTAAACTTTATTTGTTAAAAAATGCATCAAACATTATAATATGATATATTTGGACATTTGTATAAATTTTTTTTAGAGCGTAAATCGTACTATCAAGCAATAATAAAATATTTAAAATAATTTGGCAAAGATTAAACAATATCTTAGGACATATTAAAAATTAAATATATTAAATTCCTTTGTAATTATCACATTTATCACAAAAAAAATTCTTATCTAATTATTAAAATTGTTAATTTATAAATACCAATTATTTTTTAATATTAATATATAAGTTTAAATAAATATTATTGTCAGAAATTAGATCTTAAATCAATAATTTTCATCTATTTGAACCAACTAACATATATATTATATTAGTTAAGTCATTTTACCCACCCTTTATCATGTACAAATTTCAACACAACATTGTTAATAAATATTTTAATTATTAATAACAAAGAATAAAATAATAAATAATTAAAGTATTATATTTTCTATAATATTTAACTAAAGATTCCTTTACATAAGGTGGACAAATATCTCTTTATTGAGAGAAAAAAATATTATTTAAAAATATATATATATAATTGTTAATTATAATTTTTTATATTTATATATGTATTATTATATTTATGGAATTCTAAATAGGACGTCATCGTTTAAGAATACTCTCTTAAAGAATGATTTATGGACACTCCTTTATCAGTCATGACGTGTAAAGTCCTTAATTAAGGAAGAGAAAATTCACTATTATTTTTAAAATTGTAAATGGTCAATAATTCTTCCTAATTAGGAGAGAGCGGTTATCGCTATTTAAGTTATCCAAATCTTAAGCCTAAAAGATCTTTATAAATACTTCTAAGGGAGAGAGGACAAATCATTACACTCTCAAAAACATAGTTAGTGCTTAACTCACATTAATCACATCTTTCATATACTTAAACCTAAGCATATCGTCCATCAACAAAATCTCTCATCAGATAAGTACTAACCAGACAAAATTTCTCACTACCGTAAATAAGTACTAACCACCATTACAGATGATATACTTATTAAAGTCTTTGAATCTCTTTATTTACGCACACATATACTTTTTAACCAATACAATATATTGTATAAGTATAAATTTTAAATTATATATTTATATGTTTATATTTGTTTATCCAACTCAATATATTAATTATTTAATAAACTAAAAAATATATTTTTTATAATAAGGATTTGAGATATATTTGGGATGTTATTAGCATCATGAGCATCTTTTGTCTGTCTTATTTGTAATTTAAATCGGAAAGTAGATATGACAATATAATTCATATTCGTGGGTATCCGCCTGAATTCTTCTCGAATTTGATGGGGAAAACCCGTTTTGACTGGATTTGAGTTTTTCTCGATTTCAAGATATGGGAACGAAGCGGGTAGTGAGGAGTATAGTACCCACCGAACCCGTCCCTGAACCCGCCTCGTTTATTATTATTATTATTATTATTATTATTATTATTATTATTATTATTATTATTATTATTATTATTATTATTATTATTATTATTATTATTATATATGATTTAACAATATATGCCGCTACAATATCTCAATTTGTTAAATCTATCTATTGTTATAGTTTCTTGATTTATTTGGTTTGTTAATTTGAAATATTAATTGTATGATTTGATAAATTAATATTTTTGTTAATATTTTATTATTCAAAAGATATGTTTAAATTTCTTCGAGATTGTATTTTATATTTGTAATATAAGTAATATATGTTAAGATTGGAGCAGATTTTAGGTTTGGGGTGAATTTTAAGTTTGAGAAAGCTTTTGAGTTTGAGACATATTTTGGGTTTGGGGGTGGGGCGGGGATCCCCGAACTCATTTGAGGCGGATTTGAGATTCAAGTATTCATCCCCAACGGAGATTGGAGCGGGTAACAGAAATTTATCTTGAATTCAAGTTTGAGTTTGAGGAATACAAAAACGGTTTCCACTCCGCCCCGTTGCCATATCTATCGGGAAACGAACGTCTGATTTTCCAAGTCAAATGTGTACTAATTATATAATATTAAAAAAAGTGTTTAATAAATATGTAAGGATAATGTAAAATAATTTTACACAATTATTTAGCATGATTGATTAATAATATAAAATTAATTTTTATTTTTTCTTAAAAAAACCAAACTCAGAATCCAACATGAGAAAATATTCTCTTTGTATTAATTAATATTGAAGGTGGCATTTGAATTAAAAGAATTAATAAATATTTTTTAATAAAAATAACTTAAATATATTTAAGTATGATAAAATATATGAAAAAAATATGTTGTTATCTTTTCCTAAGACTATCTACAATAACAAAATTATTTAATACTCATTTTTTTTCATTTTTTACGCTTCACATCATCTTCTCTCTCTTCCACCTAATAATTCAACACTCATTCAAATTTTACTGATTACAATGGTTTTGTTTAATAAAATTCAACACTTTACCCCACCATTTTTATTTCATATTTTTATTTTCTTTTTTATGTTTTTGTTTTTTGATTATATATTAATAATAATTATCAATTAAAATTAAATTAAAATAATTAAGATTTAAATATTTTATTTTATTTTATTTTTAATTTAAAAACTTATTTTAATTTTTCTCTCTGATTTTATATCCGTAATTACAAAAAACTTAAAATGCAATACAATACACACAACACACAACACACTTAAAATGAAACACACATAACTTAATTAGTACAATAGACTCAACTCACAAACAATATATTTAATCACGAAACATTCCAAACTATACCCATATATGTTTGACTAGATCTGCTTGCAATTCATGATGTACATTTGAATCACGCATCACAGATCTAGCACGCACATGATTTGCAAATGCAGGTAGCACCTCGGTCGAGAATGACTCCGGTGTACCAGACCCACTTGCCTCAGATTGATCATAATCTGTCCAATATTGAGAATATGTATCTCGTTCATTCTCAACAATCATATTATGCAATATGATATATGACCTCATGATGAGAGCCAAATCGGCTATGTCCCACAAATGGGTTGGTTTGCGAATGATTTTAAATCGAGCCTGCAACACCCCAAATGCATGTTCGATATCCTTCTGATATCCCTCATGATATTTTGCAAATAACTTATCTAGTTCACTTTGAGGAAGTCTAATTGATTTGACGAAAGTCGGATAATAAGGGTAGATATCACCAGCAAGATAGTATGCCATATTATACGAACGTTGATTCACAAAGAAGTTTACTCTTTGAGTTTTTCCCTGTTCAACATCATCAAACACGGGTGAATGGTCTAGAACGTTTATATCGTTCAATGTGCCCGGACATCCAAAGAAGGCATGCCAAATCCATAGATCATAAGTTGCAAATGCTTCAAGAATAACAACGGTGGTTCCCTTATCTCCCCGAGTAAATTGATCTTCCCATTATGTAGGACAATTTTTCCATTCTCAGTGCATGCAATCAATACTCCCAATCATCCTCGGGAACCCCCGCATTTCACTAACATGTAGTATTCTTTGTAGGTCATCTTGAGTTAGGGCTCTGAGATACACTGGCTCATACAATTGTATGATTCCTTTACAGAATCTACGCAAGCACTCTAATGTTGTTGTACCTCCTATTTTAATGTATTCATCAACTGTATCGGCCGTCACACCATATGCTAATGTTCGCATGGTTGTGGTACATTTTGCTAATGGAGATATACCTTCTTTTTTGGTTGAGTCAACTCTTTGGGTGAAGTAGTTGTCACTGCTAGATAGTTCCCCAATGATCATAAGGAACACATATTTTCGCATCCGGAATCACCGACGAAACATTGCATCGTCATATGTAGGTTGGTCTGCAAAGTAGTCTTCTATTAGTCTTTGGTTTGTCGTTGCATGATCTCTATTGAGATATTTTCTCTTAACATTAAGTGTATATCCTTCCTCTATTTGGTTTCGTCGCTCTCTGAACTGGTTGACGATATACATCTCTTCGATTTCAGACTGCCTTTTGTAAGCTTCGATATCAAAGGGAAATTCTGAAGGATCCATTGATGTTTTTTAGTAATATGAGATTTTTGGTATTGGTACATTAATGGAAGAATGAGTCTCAATTTATAAGATTAATAATATCATATTTTTGGTATTGGTACATCAATAATATATAAGAAACTAAGTGATAAAATAGAAATTAATATCTTGATAATATAGAAAATAGTAGATAAGAAACAAAATACAAACAATGACTTAACAACATTTAATTTCCAAACAGATCGCGACCCAACTTTTCCAACAACTCTTTGCTCCGGTCATCAAGATGCTCCTTTGAACTTAGCTTCATAAACATCTTCATCTTCTTAGCCTCATTACTTTCTTTCAACAATTGGTTAGATTCCTCTTTCCTCATGGATATTTTGTCCAATCGTTCAAACTCTTTCTCCTTAAATTGTTTGAATTCATTCCACTTTTCATTGACCAATTCCAAGGCTGCGCCATTGCTTTTTTTACCCTTTTTTTTGTTTCATCCCTCCCCATTGGGCGAGCACTAGATTCTACGGAGTTGGAATCACTTGCATCACTCTCGTGGGCTCTCTTGGATCCACTACCTACATATCCACTATTTCCTCCTACCTGACTATCATAACGTGGTTGATCACGAAGAGCGAGCCATTCTAATATTAAAATGAAATGTCCACTCTTACCACTTGAATATAATTCATGCGCTTTTGCCAATACATCATTCTCCGACCACCCGCTTTTTTTGCATACGCTTAGCGTTATCATAAGCGCCTGTCCATTTATTAAGTATTTTGTTCATGTAGTTGTAATGATTTCTACATGTAGCTCCATCATGGGGAGGATCAAATGAGCAATGCTCATTACATTAATAAGCAATTTTACCACAATATGAATCACTTTTTTGGTTTCTCCCAACAACACTGTCTGTTTCATATTTAATCCACCCACTAATTAGAACCAAATTTTGATCAGTGGTCCATTTGGGGATTTTCCAACGAACAGGAGTTGAATCCTCTGCATTTGGAGTGGCTCCATGACCATTGCTCATGCCACCAAGAGCCATTTGTGTAGAAAAATCAGGAAATTCATCAAGTCCAATATTAGGAACATTTTCATTTTCCATTGGAGTATGTTGTACCCCAAAATTTTCCCTCCCATTTTTCATTCAAGATATTATCCTAGGGTTTCTCGAATACTCAATTTGGTTCAGAAGTTGATCAGACATATTCTCTTCTTAGGCAGTAAGTCAACAATTAGGGTTTGGTATTTCTCAAAGAAAATTGAGTCTTCAAGGTTTCAAATGGTCTTCATAGATCTTCATGTATTCTCAAGGATGTTCATGCCAAGTTTCAAAACCTCTCATTACAAGTTTGCTCAGTCAATGGTTCAAATGACTGAAAATCAGCACTTCGACCAAAAGTCAACTTTTGCAAGATCAAGTTCAAACTATCATAACTTCTTTATTATTCAATATTTTTTAGTGGTTCTTTTTGCAGATGATTCTCCTTGACGCCATATACAACTTTTCTTTACAAGTCAAGAGCTGATTATGCTTGAAAAAGCCACGAAAAAATAGAAATGTTAGAAATCATTGTGAATTTAGTGAAATTTAATTAGTTTTGTCCGACTTTACTAAATCATGTATTTTTGCATTTTTAGTCATCTTTCTTTTATTCTTATTTTCATAAAAAGGAAAAAAAATATATTTAGCATCATTTTATTAGAAAAATTTTCTTTTCTTTTAATTAAAAAAAAATCAAAAAATATATGTAATTTTATTTTCATGTTTTTTAAAAATTTTTAATTTAGTTTTAATTTGACATAGTTTAACATGTGTATAAAATATTTTAATGCCTCTTTTACTTTATTTTATATTTTTAGTTTAATTAATTTATTGTTACTTACCTTTTATCATTATAATTATCATTGTTATTAAAGTCAAAAAATTAAAACCATTTTCTTTATTGTCACTTTTTATTTGTTTACTTTTATTGTTAGTAACAATTCTTATCTTTGTATTTTTTTAAGTTTAATTTAATTGTTTCTAACAATTTTAATTTATAGATTTTTTAGTTTAATTGTTTAAATGTCATAACAATTTTCTTTTTTGTTAATATTATTATTTTTGTTATTATTATTATTATTATTATTATTATTATTATTATTATTATTATTATTATTATTATTATTAAATTGTTTTGCTTGTTATGTCCAAAGAATAGGCTAAATATTGGGACCACCAAGAACATATCAGTTCACGGTTTACACCAGCATTACAAAAGAGAGAAAAAAAACTACTATTTTCATGGCAATTTTTCTGCTACAAAATCAGTTCACCTTACAACCACATTGCTGCCCATAACACTCCAAAAAAACGTGCATAAATCAGCCCTTTATACCAGTCCAAAATCCTGCTCCACATGCTGCCTGAACCTGCTACTGCCCTGTCCACAAACAGCCAAACATTGCATCAAATTAGCAAAACATAAACTACGTTAATAAAGCACAAAAGCAACAGCCAAATTTGTTCAAAATTCACCTATCCTCCCCCCATTTTCACACTATCTCACCTATATAACAGATCCATCTTAACCAAAAAAAAGAGAACACCACATATTATTTTCATTTACTTGAGATAACAATAAAATTTCTTACATTTTCTATCTATTATTGTCCTTTCACCAAAGAAAAAACTCAGCAAGTATAGAAAAGAAAAAGAGGAAGGGATATACAATCTCAGAATCTCAAACACAACCCTTAAAAACTTCAAACAGAAACATTACAATCCCTTTGCTATTTCAACCTCTCGAAACAACCACCAACAACTATCATCACTTCTCTGTCCAGCTCTTGCTCTGAACCTAATTCCACAAGATTCAACCAAACACAAATTATAACAGAAGCGTCGCACAAAAGGTCGACAGTTTCAGATAGAAGGGAAAGCAATAAAATTTTGAACTCACCTCTTTTCATATTTGCGTTAGAGGCTTCAATAGGTATTGTTTCTTCCACTCTTTTGCATAAATTTCTTCTGTATATCTCTGCTTGTTTATGCTCTGATTTTGCTGTCGTTGTTATTGCTTATGTCCGAATAGAATCATGAACCTGCGAATTGAAAAGTTATTGTTGTTATTATCTATCATTAATTTGTGAAACATGAATATTTTTGTGTGATTGTCGTATTGAAAACAGAATAAAAAAACTAACAATCTTCAATTACCACTCTCCCAATTTAACCTTCAAAACTTTAACCTCATACGCCCTTTCATACAGAATTACACAGAAATTCGCAAAGGGCCTTAACATACCTCTTATACTGTCTTCAATAATGCTCTTTTCGCCGTTCAATAGCAACCGTAAATACCCCCATCGTCTTCAGCCTTCACATCTTTTTTCTCCAAACCTGTCTCATATCCCCTGTATGAAAACCATAAAAAAGCTTTATTTCAAATAAAACAAAAAAAATTCAGAGATGAAAACAGTAATATACCTTCAAATGTTCTTTCTGAACACTTTTTTTCCCTTCCTTCATACCCCGTAACTCCCCTCTGTCTCTACTAGCTTTAGACAGTCTCAAACCTTCCCCACCTCCGCCAACGCCACCATCATCACCGACTGAACCCCTCCTCGCTTCTGTCTAATGAAACTGTCACCCCTCTCTGATTCTACACTAGCATCACATCTCCCTCCTTGTATATTCCATACAGTCAATACTCTCGTCAACAACTTCCTCCGCCGAGCTTCATCGTCAGACGCAACGCTCCCTCAATCAGCCGCGTCTCTCGGAATCAGCTTATCTATTGTCAATCTCGATTCCATTCATAGTGAAGACTGTGACATTTTGAGTGATGACGAGGATCAATTGTTTAGATTTGGAAAAGGGATTGTTGGGTAAGATCACAGTTAGAAAACAAGAAGAAGATGATGGTAATCTCTGTGTGTGTGTGTGTGTGTGTGTGTGAGAGAGAGAGAGAGAGAGAGAGAGAGAGAGAGAGAGAGAGAGAGAGAGAGAGAGAGAGAGTCATTTTGTTTTTGGTTTCAATTTTTCCCTGATAATCGTTATTGGTAATAATAACATTTTAAGCCCAATTTCTTTTCCCAAAAAATTCCAGCGGCGCGCCCAAAAAATGATTAGGGTTACAAATAAAACCCTTATTTTCCTCTTCCATCCGGGTCAGTCCATTGGGCTGTTGGCCCAATGTCAACTAACATTTTCCCTTTTCTCCTATTAAAATCATAAAAATTATGAATGAATAGAACCAATCAGTTGGCAAGGCATTGTTTACAGCACCAAGAGAACCCGGGTTCAACCCCTGTTGGGGACTTTTCTTCTATTTGCTTCATTCTATGTTTTTTTTGTTAAACAAAAACTATTGGGTCTTACAATTCCTTTCTAACTCATCCATATTTCTACCTCACACCCCCGTAAGTTTAAACACCACTTTTCTACTTTGTTTTGTTAGTTTGACTTTATTTGTTTTAACTTAATAACTCATGAAATTTTGTTAGATAATTCTTGTAGCTTAGTTCTAAATTTAATTTAGGAAAAATTTGTAAATAATTTTACTAATTAACTTTTTCTTTAGTCTTAATTTGTTTGTCTTCATAAAAAATACCAAAAGACAAAATATACATACATTTGATTTAATTTTTTTAGTTAATTATTTTCTTTAATAGAATAGAATTTTATTTTTCTTTTCAAACTTTTCAAACAAATACCAAGAATTTTATTTCCATACTTTGTTAATTAATTTTTACTTCATAGATTGTTGTAGTTTTAATTAATAGTTCGATTCGATTTGGTTGTATTGATTGCCTATTTGGACTTTTAATCGCGTTGATCCATCATTATTTGTAAATTTGTACCTCCATTCTCGAAAGCTATATAATAGCGTAGAATTTTAATTTCTGCAATTTACTGTTTTCCTTATACGGTATAGTAATTAAGAGTGTATGGCAAGATATAAAATTAACCATTAGAAACCCTAATTCAAGACAAAACAATACATGAAAATAAATCACTTCGCACACGCATACCTCTAGGGTAATCTCGCTTGTTGCCTCGAAAAAACAGTCATGTCCCTCGAATATGGGACGCTTTAGCAAAGACCCTTCGATAAAAAAAATCGTAGTCCCTCGATGTTGCCTTCGATAAAACGATCTAGTCCCTTACGAAAATTGCTAAAGCGTCTCACAAGTTGCCTTCTATGACTGTACGATTGACCCGCACATGTCCCTTCGCAGCCAACGATGAGGCTTCTTACCAAATAAATGGTAAGATAACAACATCTAAATGAGGAGAAAAAAAACATTTAAGACCTTTTGAATAGGTAGGACGCTCCTAGTTGCTCGCTTGCTCACAACAAAAATATTTTATACACCAACACTTTCATTTGAAACATTTTCAAAAGTTAAAACACTTTGTACGCGTTCTTATAGAAACAAGAACCATTACAAAGACACCTTTTCAAAATCACTTTCAAAAACAAATTCCACAAATACCTCTTTGAACTATTTTCAAAACAACACTTTGTATGCGTTCTTATAGAAACGAGAACCATTACAAAGACATTTTCAAAATACATTCAAAACCTACATCACAAGCATATTTTCAAACAAAAGCAAATAATCTAGCAAGCAACTAAGAGCCCGTAGATAACTACGGATGAAAAGTGTGCTAACATCTTCCCTTTTCATAACCTACCCCCTGAACTCAAGAAATAATCTCGAAAGGTATTTCCTGTTCTTTTCAACCTTTCCTTATTGGATAAAAGAAAAGTCGGTGGTGACTCTTGCTATCCGCAATAATTGCAATCAAATACAAAACAACCAAGTCAGTTCTCCCACTGTGTTACAGAGTAGAAGAATAATAAGGTGGTGCTTCAGATGAATATGAGATCATAGATCCATAATATGGACGATAGTTTGGATTAGATGACGGTATTATGAAATTTGGTATATTTTGGGGACCTTGTTGGTTGGAAGATTGATTTTGAAATATATAGTTGGGATTTGGGTAGTTGAAAGGATAATTAGTAGAATTTTGGGTATTAAGAGGGGTTATTGTTGGGATTCATTTCACTAAAAAATTGTTTAGAGCTACAAACAATAATTTATTGGATGCTAAATAGAAAAATTAGAGAGAAAAAATAGATTTTTTTTTTCTTTGTCCAAATCAAATGAATCAAGGTTCTATTTATAGATAAAAAAAATGATGAATTTTGGTGAAAAAAAATAAAAAATTGATTTTCTATAAAATAAGTGACTGCAAATAATTTAAGTGAGATAAAAATATAAACAATCACAACAACCAATTATATTTTGTAAAGTATTATAAGTGGCGCCCACTCATTTCTCATTCAACATGTTAAATATTTTCAACACAAATTAATCCATGTCACATTCAACACCTTATTCAACAATCCATTAAAGCAATTGAACTATTGAAAAATTTATTCAACACCCCCCGTAGTCTAAGACTATCTACAATGGCAAAATTATTCAACACTCATTTTCCCCATTTTTTACACTCCACATCATACTCTCTCTCTTCCACCTAATAATTCAATATTCATTCAACTTTTACTCACTACAATGATTTTGTTTAATAAAATTCAACATCTTACCCCACCACTTTTATTTCATATTTTTATTTTCTTTTTTATGTTTTTGTTTTTTTATTATATATTAATAATAATTATCAATTGAAATTAAATTAAAATAATTAAGAGTTAAATAATTTATTTTAATTTTTTTAACTTAAAAATTTATTTTAATTTATTTTCTCTAATTTTATATTTGTAATTACAAAAAACTTAAAATGCAATACAATACACATAACACACCATACATAACACACTTAAAATGAAACACATAACTTAATTAGTACAATAGACTCAACTCACAAACAATTTATTTAATCACGAAATATTATAAACTTTACCCATATATATTTGACTAGATATGCTTGTAATTCGTGATGTACATTTGAATCACGCATCACAGATCTAGCACCCACATGATTTGCAAATGCAGGTAGCACCTCGATCGAGAATGACTTTGGAGTACCAGACCTACTTGCCTCAGATTGATCATAATATGTCCAATGTTGAGAATATGTATCTCGTTCATCCTCAACAATCATATTATGCAATATGATATATGACCTCATGATGAGAGTCAAATCGGCTATGTCCCACAAACGGGCTGGTTCGCGAATAATTTTAAATCGAGCTTGCAATATCTCAAATGCACGTTCGATGTCCTTCCGACATTCCTCCTGATATTTTGCAAATAACTTATCTGGTTCACTTTGAGGAAGTCTAATTGATTTGACGAAAGTCAGATAAGAAGGATAGATACCATCAACAAGATAGTATGCCATATTATACGGATGTTGATTCACAAAGAAGCTCACTCTTGTAATGATTTCTACATGCAGCTCCATCACAGGGAAGATCAAATGAGCAATGCTTATTACAGTAATAAGCAATTTTACCCCAATATGAATCACTTTTTGGTTTCTTCCAACAACACTGTTTGTTCCATATTTAATCCACTCACTAATTAGAACCAAATTTTGATCAGTGGTCCATTTGGAGCTTTTTCCACGAACAGAAGTTGAATCCTCTGCATTTGGAGTGACTTTATGACCACCGCTCATGCCACCAAGAGCCGTTTGTGTAGAAAAATCAGGAAATTCATCAAGTCCAACATTAGGAATATTTTCATTTCTCACTGGAGTAGAAGAATAATAAAGTAGTGCTTGAGATGAATATGACATCATAGTTTCATAATATGGACGATAGTTTGGATTAGATGACGACATTATAAAATTTGATATATTTTAGAGACCTTGTTGGTTTGAAGATTGATTTTGAAATATATAGTTGAGATTTGAGTAGTTGAAATGATAATTAGTAGAATTTTCGATGTTAAAGAGGGTTATTGTTGAGATTCATTTTACTAAAAAATTGTTTAGAGCTACAAACAATAATTTATTGGAGGTTAAATAGAAAAATTAGAGAGAAAAAATAGATTTTTTTTCTGTCCAAATCAAATGAATCAATACTCTATTTATAGACAAAAAAATGATGAATTTTGGTAAAAAATAAAAATAAATAAAAAATTGATTTTCTATAAAATAATTGACTCAAAATAATTTAGGTGAGATAAAAATATAAATAATCACGACAATCAATTATATTTTATAAAGTATTATAAGTGACTCCATTCATTTCTCATTCAACAATATTTTAACACAAATTAATTCATCTCACATTCAACACTTTATTCAACCATCCATCCAAACAATTCAACTATTAAATTTTTTATTAAAGTCCCGGTTACAATGGTCTAAGATCAATGTGTTCTGTTCCAATTACAATACATGCAAAAGTCTCTTTCTCTCTCTGTTGCTTTTTCATTTCCTCTTTTCTGGGACTCTATTCTTATCTATCTTCATTCCAGGTTCTTTACTTTTTTTATTTTTTAATATTTCAGGGATTCTTTGAATTTTTCTGTGGGGTTATTGTTATTGTTATTGGAATTTGGATTGGTTGAAATTGAAGATGAGAATCACTCCTCGTTCTCTTCGTCAATTGAGGCATGTTTTTCAGAGACAAACATGTGTTTTGATTAATAATCTTGTTGCACAAAAACCATGTTCCTTTGAAAAATGTTGTCAAATTCATAGTTCATCTTATAGATTTATTATTGATCAAGCTGAGTCCAATTTATTGAAGAATCGTCCATTTATTACGATATCCACGAGATCTGTATCAACTGATGCTGTCAAACTCACAAATGAAGGTTCCATAATTTCTCTCTCTCTTTTTTTTTTTGTTGTCAAATGAAGGGTTTGGAATTTTTTAATTTTTTTTTAATTTTATTTGTATTGGAATTTGTTGAATCTGTTGCAGAAATTAACAGAAGGGGACCTCTTATCGAGTATGAACGACGAATTGCCAATGGTGAATTGGTGGATGGAGATAGTTGCCAGGTAGAGTGTTTGCATTTCGTTGATACATAATTGAATAGATGAAATGACTTTTCATATTCAGTTTATTGGACGTTGTTGTATGCTATGCAACACTGACATCTCTGAAAAAAGGTTTGTCTGTGTCAGCTTTGGTGCTGAAACCGACAATGACACTTGTGATCATGTTTAATTTATTCATTTTTCAAATTATTACTGGTGTCAACGTGGAAGTGTCATGTTTTGAGTGTCTGTGCTTCATAGATTGTATGTATGCATTTGCTCATGGCATTTTATTAGCAATTAGTAATAACTTAATTTGGTATTTTTTTCCTTTCTTTTGTTGAGGTAGGTAGAGACACTAACTGAACTTCAGAGACTCTATGATGAACTTGTTGAGTCTGCTGATGAATGCCAATTGGATCGCAATTCGGAAAAACCTGTAAGGTATGCCCTAAATTATCTTATCTTGCTTCATGCTGATATGTCTGTTCAAATTTTGAAGGTTATGGTTTTCTTTTTACACATCACTCGTTCGAGCCCTTGGATTTATTTAATTTTATTACAGACACGGATGGCTGTGGTCTCGACTCTTGTCACATCCTTCTCATTCACCTGTAAAAGGCTTATATCTTTATGGCGGAGTTGGCACTGGTAAAACTATGCTGATGGACTTGTTTTATGATCAATTGTAAGTTTCACATGAATTTCTTCTTTGTCTATTTTTTTATCTTGTATTATATGCCATTCATTTGTTATTTTAGAGGGAATATATTGAGGCATTTTCAGAATGTTTTATGCAAGTGTGCTTTTACGAGGAGGGTCCAACCTTGTATCTGATCAGCTGTATTGTATGCTTGATTTTTTCGTCTTCTTCAGGCCCTCTAATTGGAGGAAAAAGAGGATTCATTTTCACGACTTCATGTTGAATGTGCACAGCCTATTACAAGTAAGTTTACGAAATTGTTAAGTAACTCTCAATTGTATTATTTTTCTATTCTGTACTCGACATAGAGAAGAATTCCAATATTGGACTAAAAAGTTGTTCAAGATTCTGTATTCAACATAGAATGATGTTATCTTTGTATGCATGATTGACAAACAGAAGCACAAAGGGCTGTCTGATCCCCTGGATGTTGTAGCAGAAGAGATTTCTGAGGAAGCGGTTTTATTATGTCTTGATGAATTCATGGTAAGATTTAAGTATAATATTTATTTCTTTTTGCAATAGATCATAGATACTTTGTTATCATAGCTTGATATTTGTTGGTCTTCTCTGTAGGTAACAGATGTTGCCGATGCATTGATTCTAAATCGCTTGTTCGGACATTTATTCAGCAAAGGCATTGTAAGTAATATAACTTTGTTGCCGCCTCTATTCAACATGATTTTATGGAATCGTTACATGATTAATTTAAAAACTCCATTTCTTCTATGTGTTTGTACACAAGTGTAGATTTTAGTGTCCACTTCAAATCGTGCTCCCGATAGTCTATATGAGGGTGGACTACAGAGGGATCTCTTTCTACCCTTCATTGCGACATTGAAGGTTCATTCAAATATTTTCATAGTTGGAAGTGATGTCAGATAGGCTATTGTTTTCGAAATAATTTCTTAATACGTGTATATTGGTGTAGGAAAGATGCGTAGCACATGAGATTGGTTCATCAACTGACTATCGCAAAATGACTTCGGTATGACATATGTACTCTTATACAAGTAAATGCATCTAATAGTTTTTTTCTTTTGTGATCTAATATTATTTGTTTTTCAATTATCGTTTTCGGCTAATTTGAACTGCAGGGTGGGCAAGGATTCTATTTAGTTGGCAGAGATTCGTCTAGCTTTCTTAAGAAAAAGTTTCAAGAGCTGATTGGAGAAGACACGGCTACTCCCCAAGAAGTCGAAGTAGTAATGGGAAGGACACTGCAGGTATATGCTAAATTTAATATCCTAGAGACATATATAGAGCACGCATCACGATCATTACTATTATTATTAAGCTTTAACTATTTTGTTTCTTTTTCTTGATTAGGTTCCATTGGGAGCTAATGGATGTGCCTATTTTCCATTCGAGGAACTTTGCGACAAACCTCTTGGGGCTGCAGACTATTTTGGATTATTCAGTAAGACATATATGTTTCAATGAATTCTGTCGTAAATATTTGCTGTCCTTATAAGTCACAATCTCTTGTTTTTGTTCTTGTCAGAAAAATTTCATACTTTAGCGCTGGATGGCATCCCAATTTTCGGGCTTAGCAATAAATCAGCTGCGCATAGGTTTGTCACTTTGGTTGATGTAAGTCCATTTCAATGTCTTAAACTTTGTCCGCTGTTAGTTAAGAATTCTTATGAATCAAAGTTGTATACCAGAAATTGTAATTTTAAATATATTCGAAGAATGTGAAGTTTATTCTACTTTGATAAGTAATCATTTGGATGGATAATCCCATGCGTGATTGTTCGTTTGTGGTTACAACAGGTGATATACGAGAACAAGGCCAGATTATTGTGTTCAGCTGAAGGGAGCTCTCTAGATCTCTTTCAAAAAGTAGTAACTGTATCTGACGCTAAATACATAGCACCCAGGACCTCTTCGAGATCAAGGAAAAATGATGAGGCTGACCTTTGCGTTGACAATGAACTTGGGTTTGCAAAAGACCGTACCATTAGTCGGTATGTAATAATATCTTTATTTAAAATATACTTAATTTCAGTTCCGATAAAGTGTCTGAGATCACAAACAAACCGCGTGTATTTGTTGCGATTACTGATAATGTGAAACAAATTGAATGCAGACTGACAGAGATTAACAGCAGAGAATACTTGGAGCAACATGCTGAGATGTTAGCAGAAAAGAAATAAAGAGATTGATTTCTACCAGTGTTGTTGTAGCATATACCCGGATTGAAAGACAAACATTAATTTGAAATAAAAAAGAGGAAGTTAAAGTGATTGACACACAGAATAATTTGAAATAAAAAGAGGTTCATTTGCAGAACTTATAGATTTGACACTTGCAGAATGAGTGAAAAGTGTGTTAGTGTAGTTAGTATGAGAATAATGTACAATTGAGTGATGTATAAAAATTCAATTCAATTCAAATACTTAATGTGCAAGCAAGTGGGGGTGATTCCTGACTAGGCCAGCACATATGATCTTTAGTCGCAATATGGGTTAAGTTAAGTGTAATTTGACAAATAATTCCATTGATTATATCCTACGTGGCTTGCTAGAAAGTCCATAGAATATGTGTTAATGTGTGCATTGTTATACTAATTGTATGTTTGTTAATAATTTATATTAATAATATTTGATATTTTGATGGACAGAATGATTTGATGGAAATGAACCTTAACAAAGATTTTTAAATTAATAAATTTGAGCGTATTAACATCTGGCAAACAATGTTCTGAAATCTTAATTTACAGAGAGAAATAATAGCCTAAAATATTACGGATGACAATGGCAAAAGTTTATGGATATATTAATATTCATACTCGTATCTGTTTATTTGCACTCGTAATAAAATTAAATAAATTAATTATAAAATATTATATAATTTAAATTTTTTTTCAACAATATTAAAAAAAGTTATTGTCGAGTTAAAAAACAATTAAACATTTTTATTAAAATATGTAATGATTAAATAACAATATTTTTTTTAAAGTTGATAAAGATGTATTTTTATATAATAATATAAATGATATTATATAAATATATAGTGCGGATATGAAATAAGATGAATAGTAAGATATCCGTGTCCGTATCTATACTCATTTTGTGAATTTTTACCTTACCTATTGTGGAAATTTTTTATAAATACCTATAGGGTACGAGGGGAATTGTTATCCCTGCTTTATATATAGGTTGATATGCTACCTAAGAAATAGTTAATGTCATTATGCATCTTTCTATTCACGGTTATAACTAATAATATTTATTTATTTATTAAATAATCGATGTATTTGATATAATAATGACCATATATATCAATTATTCAATAAATTATTTTTTATTATTTATAATAGTGACTGAAAAGTGTATATTACAATAATATGTGAATAAAATAAGGAAAAAGCTAATATATGCCATGAGACACGTGTTAAAAGAGTTATTTGTAGAAATATTTTCTTAGAACGCGTATAATTAATGTTTTGAAACTTTAAATATGACTTTATTACATTTAATTATATTTAATTTTTTTAAATTATATTGTCCTTAACAAATGCTTTAAGGACACATGTTAACATAACTCATAAAATAAAAGCTGATTTGACTATAGAAAATTGATGATAACTTGAGTATTTATAATTGAACAATATCGTTGACAATACATATCGAAAATAAGTCTTCATGACGTGTGTGCCTAGAGTATACTTCAATAGATGCATTATCAAGATACTTTAATGTTCAATGTTAAAATAAAATCTTTCATATTCATCTATTACATTAAACTAGATTTGACTATAGAAAATAAAAGCTGATTTGACTATAGAAAATTGATGATAACTTGAGTATTTATGATCGAACAATATCGTTGACAATACATATCGAAAATAAGTCTTCATGAAGTGTGTGCCTAGAGTATACTTCAATAGATGCATTATCAAGATACTTTAATGTTCAATGTTAAAATAAAATCTTTCATATTCATCTATTACATTAAACTAGTAAGAAATCCGTGCAACATCCGAGTTCACATTATTCGTCTATTAGACTATTATTTATAAAATATCAATTCATTTTTTAATTGATTGACATTCACATAGTTACAAATATAGGCTAATGATATGCACTTGTTTTTTAAGCATTGTACTTATAATAAATCGTATAATCGATTTTCTAACTTCAATTATATTAAACAATAGCAAAGAAAGATTTAAAAGATGGACATTAAAATTCACCGTCTACAATTAGTATCGCATAGATACGTTCACATCTACCCGTGACTGATAAGTTAACGAATCCCAGTTGAATCCATATAAGTTAATTCTAAAAATTTATTAAACATATTTTAGATATTAGTCCATTTTCCAAATTTAAAAGGTATGACATCTCCACGTTAAATTTCAGTTTTAAAATTTTCTTATTATATCATATTTATATTTTTTTACAACCTACGATGTATGTCAGTTCCCGTTAAATTACAAATCTAAAACCTTCTTATTAGATCGTATTTACATTTTTTTTTACAAACATGAAATGTATGATAACACTCCATTAAAATATAATAAACTTTATAAAATATGCTCATGCAAATTCAACATGGAGATTAAAATCAAACCTATAATCTAATCTTCAATAACAATCTTCAAAATAATTTAAAAAAAATTAATCATATATAAATTTATTGTAAAATTTTATAAAAATAAATATAAGTTAAAAAACAAAAAAAATATTATCAATTTTTTATTAAAAATATGAGAGCAGACCAAAACTTTTTAAATTTAAAATAGACAAATTACTTTCGTGAATCAAATAAAATTAAAAATTAAAATTATAATATAACTTTTTATATTCTAGATAAACTAAGTATTTTGGCAAAAAAAATTATTAAACCTGTTTTAAATATTTTTTGGTATAACTTTTTATTATATTTAATTATATTTTATTATTTTTGAATGTAATGTCATTATTTTTTAAATTATCTTAATTAATAAGTATGATTAGAGAAATGTGTAATATTAGTTTTTTTAAATTATCTTCATTCAAAATTTAATTAAATTATCAAAAAAAGTAATGTTATTTTAAAAAATGTAATATAAGCAATCCAATTCAATCTTAACCAGCAAATGTTGTTTGTTTTGGAGTGTTTATTTTATGAACTATTAATTTATATTTACCATTGAAATGGAAAATAAATATTATTTATTAGTGATAAATATTAAATTTATTATTTTAATATCTATTTAATTTGATGTCTAGTAAAATAAATATTTTAACTAGTTAAAATAAATATTATATAGCAAAAAGACAAACTTAAAAATTTTATTTTTTATTATATTTTACAATTTTATGGATAAAAAGATAATTTATTTTTAATTATATTATAAAGATAGAAATAAAATTTTATTTTTTATTATAATAAAATTTTATAATAATTATAAGTGAATTTATTTTAATTTGTTGTCGAGTAAAATAAATATTATATAGAAAAAAACTTAAATTTTTATTTTTTTTATTATTTTATAAAATTTTATGGATAGAAATAAAATTTTATTTTTTATTATATTATAAGGTTAGAAATAAATTATCATTTTTCATTAAAATAAAATGTTATAAGAATTATAAGTGAATTTACTAATTAATTAAAAATATATAAATAAGATAATAAATTGATTTTAATTACTATATATAATATGTAACAGTAAAGTTGATATATATATATATATATATATATATATATATATATATATATATATATATATATATATATATATATATATATATATATATAAAGTATTTTAAGTATTTTAAATTTAAACAATAAACTGCACTGTTGATTCTCGGCTTGTGCAAACTTTTTTCCATTTTTTTCATTTTCATTGCAAATCAGTCTCCGTGTTCCACTATTCTATTATATAAAAGTTGTGATAAACATATTTAATACTTAAATAGAAAAAACTGAAACTTTATCATAACCTAATAAAGGTTAAACTTCAACCGTATCACAAACATCTAGGGGTGGCAAAACGGACCCGATCTGTTGTGCATGCCTGTTTTGCCTAAATTTTAGTGCGGAGCAGGCCAAAGTTTTAGGCCTTCACTCTCTAATGTGACTGCCCCGTCCCGCTCTGTCCCGTTTTTGATACGGGCTTTTGCGGGCATATGCATTTTCATAATTTTTATGTTTTTAGGTTTAAAAGGTGCAATGTGTGCGGGATTTTCCCGCCCCGTCCTTACTTTTTTTGCAGAGCAGGGCTAAGTTTTAGGTCCACGTCTTCAACTATGCCCGCCCCGCTCTGCCCTATTTTCCTGCGGGCCTAAACGGAATGGGCATGCCCGTTTGCCACCCATACAAATATCTAATATCCAATAAATTGTTCCACAAGAACATACATTATATTGTCTAATTATTAACAAAAGGATATTAATCAATGCAAATACATTAACAAAAGAATATTAATCAATGAAAATATATCATAATTATCAATGATTACACCATCTCTAGAAACTTCATACGCTTCCCTTTTCCTTGTTTTCTTCATGCCAGCAGTGAAATAAACCTTTGGTCCCTCAGATGAAATAGCTATTACTTTCACCCACACCAACACTTTGGTCTTCATACCCTTTATCTCTGTTAGTTTTCCTTTCTCCAGGTAACCAGACACACTTGTAGTGAGACACAAGACCGATGATTTTGTGCTACCAAATCGCTCCACCCTTCAGATTTCGATCAAACCGCGACTGATTCCCTCCAGCAGTAGAAAATAAAACGTTGTAATTTTGGAAAAGGATGCTTTGGGTTGAAAATAATGAAACGTGTTTGCAATATCAATGTATCTACTGACTGCTCATATTTCACAGCTAGTATTAATGTTGATGGATTTTTATCATGATAATAACTATAATCAAGATTTAGTGGGAAAATTGTGTAATTAAAATAATATAAAATCCAACAAAAATTAGGGTTGTGCCACATCAGCGACATTTAATGCCAAATAAATATAAAACTAGCAATATTCAAAAAGTCAATTTTAATCTTTGTAATTAGATTAGTTAATGCTTTTAATCAGAAGGGTTGGTGTGTAATTAACATGTACTTTTATGTTTATATATTTATAATAGAGGATGATTTGTAGAGCTTACTTATTCTTACACAAGGATATATTACCTTGAATATACTACAAATATAACAAGTG